TTTGAAAGCAAATGTCCTCTCGCAAATTGATTTAAGCGTTGGAAAAGGGTTTGTCTCAGAGAAGATCTAAGAACCCATCAGAAGTCCATTCACCAAGCATTTGGCAATTCATATATCATCTGTTCTCTAGGGAGCCAGTGTGAGCTCTGCTTCTGGAAATGCAACTGATCCTTCATAAATCAACGCGACTGTTGCTGACTATGGTGACTTAGTCTTTAAACTAAGGCCAAGGAGCAGTAAGCAGTCAATTATTTTTATGTAATGAATGCAACTCAATTTCTGTCTATATAATAATTGTCCCCATTAGTTCCCTTTCCCAAACAGCTTGGTAACATCGTTAAATACCCATCTCAACGCTGTGTACCCCAGAGACTTCCTCTCAATTTTCATTCTATGAGACCATAATCATGATCACGCAGGAGGGGTTGAAAGAAAACCAGTGTGTCTAGAAGAAGGGATGGGAAAGAGGAGGCAGGCAGGACTCCTTCGTGGCCATGTGTTAGGCACTCTGCATTTCACATTTAACTCCCACAGTAATCCTATGAGGTAAATGGTTTACAGATAGGGAATTGGGCTCAGAGAGATTTAGTAACTTGCTTAAAGTCACACAGTCAGAAAATGGTCTAAAGAGGTTCAAAACCAGGTCTATCTCCAAAGCCTGCGTTTTTAAAGATTACCATCATTTTTTTAAAAGGTTTTTGCTACAGGGCACGTGTACTTACTAGAGAGAGACAGAGACAGAGACAGAGAGACACAGAGAGAAGAAATCACCTCCCAGAGGGGATGGCCGCACCACAATCCCTTCTCCTCCATTCTCTTCTTGGGATTTTGGGCCTGTACATACACAGGTACAACCAGTGTGATTTTCTTTCCTTTTTTTTTTTTAAAGAGAGATTTTTGTTATAAGGGACATGCATTCGCCAGAGAGACAGAAATTGAGAAATCACTGCCTGAGAGGATGGCCACGCCACAATATCTTATCCTCCAGTCTCCTCTTGGGATTTTGGGCATGCACACACACGCGCCCAATGTGAGTTTCATTGGGTCTGGGACTCGAACCGTGGTTGGCCATGTGGGAGTCCAGAGACGTAACCACCATGCCATCTGCTGGTCCCAACCTGGTGCGATTTTCAAGCCACCCGGTCTGAGACTCAAATCATGGTCAGCTACTTGGGAGTCCAGCGCCTTAACTACTACACTACCTGTGGGCCTCACCATCATTTTCTAACATCATAACCAGGTTCAAAAAGAGACCCTTATCTCTACCCTGGCCAGATAGGAAATATCATAACCCTTATTATGATAAAGAACCTATAATACTTTCTCTTTGTTCTTTCCACTTTGTGCATTGTGCAGGGTTTGTGTGTGTGTGTGCCCTTGTAGGGAGACCATAGCACAATGAGAACCTCAAGGGAAGGCATGTTGTTATTTTGAAATCTGTTGTGTTTATGACTTACCCTCTCAGAAAACTAGGAATAGGAGAGTAACTTTCTTAACTTGATAAAGAACATTATAAAACGTCTATAGCTAAAATCATATTTAAAGGTTAAGACGTATTTAAGATTTAGATGTTCTCACCATTCTTATTCAACAGAGTACTGAAAGTCCTAACCAATGCAATAGGGCAAGAAAAGGAAATGAAAGGTGTACAGATCAATAAGAAAAAATAGAACTGTTCTAATTTGCAGATCACATGGCTATTTACACATGAAATTCCAAGAAATGTACAAGAAAATGATCTAGAAAATTCAGTTAAGGTTGCAAGATATCATATAAATATATAGAAATCAACTGTATTTCTTTCTATATGCTGGCAATAAACTGGACACCAATATTAAAAGTATAATACCATTTCCAGTTGCTAATAATAAAGAGAAATACTTAGGTGTAAATCTAATAAAAATGTATAGATTTATAAGCTGAAAGCTACAACATACCTATAAAAGAAATCAAAGAAGACCTAAATAATGGAGAAACACACCATGTTCAAGAATTAGAAGACAGCATGGTAAACATGTCAATTATTTCCACACTGATAGGTTCAAACACAATTCCTATAAAAATCTCAGAAAGACATTTTGTAGATACAGACAGGCTTATTCTAAAATTTATATTGAAAGGCAAAGGAGGGACCAGCAGATAGAATAATGGCTATGTCGCTGGACTCCCACATGGCTGACCTTGGTTCAATTCCTGGACGTGGTGGCTTGAGACTCATGCCAGTTATGTGTGCATGCATGCCCAAAGTCCCAAGAGGAGAGTGGAGAAAGGAGGGCAGGGTGGCCATCCCCGCAGGGGATGGTTTCTCACTTCCTGTCTCTCTGTCTCTCTCTTTGTCTCTCCAGTGAGTGTGTGCACCCTATAGCAAAAATATTTCTCTCTCTCTGTCTCAAAAACAAAAAAAAAAGACAAAGGAACTAGAATAGGTAGTAAAAGGATTTTGAAAAAGAAGAATGAAGTGGGGGAATCACTTTGATTTAAAACACATAGCTGCAATAGTCACAACTGTCATATTGATGGAGGGATAGACAATCAATGGAACATAAGAGAGAACTCAAAAAGAGCCCCCATTGGGCAGGGGGTGGTGTGGTGGTTAAGGTGCTGGACTCCCACATGGCCAACTGCGGTCGGAGTCCTAGACTTGATGGCTTGTTTTCTTACTTTTCCTTTCTCTTGCTGTCTCTCACAAGTCAAATGAAATTATAAAATAATAATAGTAATAATTCTTTTAAAAAATATTTATTTAATTTGCTATAGGACATGGGTGCTCATCATATAGAGATAGAGATAGAGATAGAGAGAGAGAGAAAGTGAGAAAGCAAGACACCAGGTCTGAGACGTGAATTCATTCAGTCATGTGGGAGTTCAGTGCCTTAACCATCATGACACCTGCTGGGCCCCCTAAGTAAATAATTCTT